GTAGCGCAAATATTGACCAGCTCAAAAACCTTGTAATGATGAACCAGAAGAACCGCAAACATAAGAAATATTAATACAAAATTGTATATAAAAAGTCTACTTTAGTTCCATGTGCTTCCAACTTGTATTAAAAAAAATCAGATTCTTCAAAATGCAAATCACGAATTCCGTGTTTGTTTGTTTTTGTCTTTGTTATAAGTGCGTTTTTCGCGCTAATAGTACTATTTGTTGTACGTACTAATACAAAATTTATTTTTTGGAAGGACGTGTGCCAATACAAGTTAGACAAAGAACATTTCATTAATCACCATCACAACTATACTATATGTATAGTTTTTTTTCTTATTTGAAAAAAAAAAAAAAGAAAATTAAGAAATGTATCCCCTTAATTACCTTGCTAGTTGCTTCTTTATAAGCTCGTTGTGCCTTTCTCTTAAAATTTTGTCCTTAAAAAAATATCACAAGTAACTCAATCTAATATAAAATTTTCACATAAATTAATATATTTGCGCACGCACAGTACACATATAATAGCATGCATGGCTCTTCGGTGTGTTATATATGAGTATGGTCACATATATACAATTAATGTTTTCCGACGATCTTAAACATCTCTGTCTGCCCCTTCTTAAGCCTCAATTAATTGTGTACTTACAAAAACAGTATTAGAGACAGCTAAACACCTAAACCCCAATGGATTAATTAAAACCAAGCTCTCTTTTTAAGTTTTAAGGACAAATCATACTCAAATATCTCTACTTCGTGAAACATAAAAAGCGGCTAGTCTGCTGTCATGTTTGATCAATTCAAAACAAGACATTGCGCTGAAAAAACCATCGTCACGAAAGTGATGTAAGCTTAACTCAACCTAATTATTATTAATATTTATCGACCTACATATATATTTAGTGGTCCACCTACTTTTTCTTTTTTTTTCTTTTTTTCTTTCGCCTCCAACAAAGCGCAAAAAGGACGGGCACTTTTCTTGCCCGCTTGCACTTGCACTTTGCTTTGGTATATATCATATATATACTTGTCGAAAAGTCAAGGTCTTCAAAAGCAGATATTTCTCTAAAAACCTAACCATGACAGCTAATTAAAAAGAAAAGCACTTGTGTGGGAGAGAAAAGAAGAGAAAATCAACGGCACTTTTTTCCTCCATCCAGACACTTTATTGATAATTCTGGCCTCCTGACTGCAATGAAAATTACTTTCAAACATATTGACACAAACTGAGCGAACAAAAACTCTCTTCAAAACCGGCAAGAAATCGTGGTGTGGCTGTTGGTACGTGTACGACACCATAATAGACAGGATTTTAGTTTTACGACTCTGAAATAATATTATGCGTACCAAAGTGAGTTAAAAAAAAAAAGGATTAATTTTAAAAATTCCTCCCGAATTATGATTATTTTAACACTTTATCTCTTAAATTTTAAAAAGTAACATCTGTTCCTCCCGAACTTTATTCGTTAACAAGTTTTACCCTTCTGTTATAATGAGTGACGAAATTGTCACGCGTCACATATTTAGTGAGAATTAAAAGCGCAATTACGCTTATATCATCTTAATCAGATAATTTCTTATTTTTTAAATTATATATAATTCTTTCTTCTTTTCATTTTCATTTTTTTTTGTTATGTCGAAAAAAATAGAAGATCGTGAGATCTTCTCCACCTTCAAAGAGTGTGCCTCCCCTGCATATAAAGTAGCTCCACACATGAATATTATACACAAACCAATCATACAAACCTAAAAAACTAATGTCTTGACCTTCTAAAAAAACCATATGATTAAAGAACAAATGAAGTACTCGAATATTCCGCCTCATTTTCCCGCAATTTCTCACCAGCCAAACAAATAAGAGGAGAGATGATAGAGAGAGAGAGAGAGAAAATGAACCAGACCGCATTGGGCTAATCTCAGAGAACCAGCCGGGGATGACGGCGGAGATAGATTTGGGGCTTTGGCGGCGGCGGCGGCATCTTGGTTTTAATCTGTGAGAGATTGGTCTTCGTGTGAAAATGGGTTTTTTTAACGCATTTGAGTTTTTTGAATTGCTTTTTTAATAATCTAGGGTTGTTGCAGGATAATTTACGATAATATTCTCTTCAGATGAGTCATGTACCTGACACGTAGCGATTTTCGTCACTCATTGTAACAGAATGGTAAAACTTGTTAACGAAATAAAACTCAGAAAAAATAGATGTTACTTTTTAAAATTCAAGGAACAAAGTGTTAAAAATGTCATAGTTCGGGGGAAATTTTTGAAATTAATCCAAAAAAAAGATATGACAAGTTCGGAGTATTTACATATAATTGATCTGAATTATGTTTACCAAAGCGTGTTACAAAAAAGTCTTCAAAAGTTGGTTTGTTTTTTGAATGACAGGTTTAGAGTTTTCACCAACTTTTAACATTTGTACTTACACGCGCGTTTTTCTTATTAATTTCTAAACCACACTGATTTTATGAACCAAATTTTCCACAGTTTCGTGAGCCATCAATCTTAATTTTAGGTAGTCGTCCCAAACGGAGCTTGAAAAATTTGTGCACCTAAATTGTATATGATATATATTCACACACACACACATATGCGTCACAAGGAATTAAAATTAAGAAATAGAATTCAAAAACATGTACGGTAACCTCACATGGGGCATCAAATTTCAAATAGTCGAGTTGAAATTGAGGATAATGTAATGTCGGTTGAACCATTATATTATACGTTAGATTCTTCTTAATTATTGCCTAACATAAAATGGAAAAAAAGGGGAAAAAGAATCTTATGACTCATCATATATTTAATAAGCAAGACGGTTGCTAACAGTCTTCCTCAGTTATACCATAGTCGTTTCTGCATGCGAATCAACTGTATTGTCTTGCATTTTTAATTATGCACAGTCCGGTTGGTGAACAACACTACTTCCGCTTTTCGGTTACAAATCCGAAGCTGAAAAACTAATGAAAATTATTCAACTCGTAAATACCTAAAACATTTTTTTTAAAATATTTGTGCTATTTCAAACGAATTTTTTTTTTACAGAAATCAAAGGATATTGGGCATAACTCAATCTAACAAAACCGGCTTATTAGGAGAGGATTGCTCTGACCTTATTAAGTGGATCATGTCAATATCTCTAGTCAATGTGAGATTCTAATACTCCCCCTCACGCACAGCGTGGACCATGCCAAACCGCTGCGAATAAGTCGATATTGGGAGACCCAACATTGTAAATTTGAGTTTGCTCTGATACCATTTTACATAAATCAAAGAATATTTAGTCTAACTCAACCTAATAAAACCGTCTTATTAAGATAGGATTGCTCTCACTTTATTAAATGGATCATATCAATATCTTTAACTAATATGGGATTTTAATAACAACAGAAAGCTAGAATATGATTATTAATATCTTAGTTCTCCTAAAATGATGAGCATGTAAATATATCATATATTGTGTTGAGAATAAAAAAGAGGTCCATCAATCATGCACCAATACAAGGAACCCTGGAGGAAATGAGCCACACGTGATTGCCTCCCCGTAAGACAAATTTGCGAATCTCCTGTGAATCTTATGGCGGTTGTATTCCACTTGTTGTGTCACGATCACTTTTAATTTCTTCGGTCCTACTCTTATAGAATATGTCGTAGCTGCAAAATAATTAAACAAAAATATTATACTAAATACCATAATATTGTTCTTTCTTTTTTTTTTCTTTTTTTTTTTTTAAAATTTTTCATTCAATGGTATGCGGGATGAGCTCGATTAATTCTATAGAACTTGTGTACCGTTGCCTTCAGAAATTTTCTACGCAGCATGGCCCTAAGAGAATAACCATCCACTTGAAAGAGACCATAACATAAATTTTTTTTTTGTCGCTAATAGAGAACATAATGTAATTAACTCTTAGGTAATTATATTAATAATATATATATATATAGCTGAATAGGTTTGACTTTGAAAGAGCACACTAGGGCGAGTAGCTCACTTAAACCGCAAGTTGAGCACGAGTCATAATACAAAAAGAATGATGATGACTTCGTAGTTTGTGAGTTTGAATCTCTCGATAAGATATAGGGGATTTGCTCTTTGTTCTTTATCTATTTTTCCTTTTCTTTGTTTCAAAGGAAAATATATCCCCAAAAAGAAAAGAAAAAAAAAAATTTTAAGAGTCATTAGTTAGAGAATTTATACCCCGATTCGAATCATGATTTATAATTCATTACAATATTTTTTTTCATAAAAAATATATATAAATTAAAAATAATTCTAATATCATGATTCTAATTTATAAACTTAACGTCTTTTTAATTTTTAAATTATTATAAACAAAAGAGTGCAGTTATTTGGGCATCTGTCTCACGTGGAAGTGATGGAACAGTGGAAGCTGCCCCAGTGTGCCGGCAGCCCATCGCTGTCCATGACCAACAATCCTACCAGAAAAGAGCCGCGTGGTTGGGTGACGCGTACCACATTTCAATTCCAACATTTCCAAAGTCCAAATCCCCACCCCACCCCCTTCTCCCCGCTGACATGGCGGTCGCCCAACCCCACATGCCTTCCTCATTTCAGGCCATGTCTACGTGTTGTGGGCCCCTCCTTGTCCCCTCTCTCCACTACACTCGCGCCAGACATATAATTCCTCTCTACCCTCCGACGGCTTTTTCATCCCATATAACAATTCCCCTTCCCTTCCCCTCCCATCCCTATCTCCAAAATTCAATTTCAACCAATAATCCGTTCATTTTACTTATTTGAGTTTAAAATTTAAGTTTTATTATAATAAAAAACTCTCATAAATAATTATATCTAACTTTTTTATTACAGTAAAAAATTCTCACATAAAATCACATCTCAACTCGAATTAAAAATTCAAATCAGCGAACTAAACGGGCCCTAATTCATCTTTTCCTCTTCTGGGTCCCAATTATTACGTGTCACCTGACGTGGCACTTCTGATAAAGCTCCCTCCCACCTATTTATACGCCTTCCCACCCCCTTTGCTCAGTACCACTTTCACCAATACAGCACTTCTTCTTCTTCTTCCTCCTGCTCTCAACGCTCTCTCTGATCTTTTATTCAAATTAAGTCCTTTTTAATAATCTAATTCCTAACTAGAGTAAGAAGGAAAAACAAATGGCTGTTGACTCTGCTCTCTCGTCTCCGCTGGGTCCTCCGGCCTGCGAGAAGGACGCAAAAGCGCTTCAATTCATCGAGGAAATGACCCGCAACGCCGACGCCGTCCAAGAGCGGGTTCTGTCCGAAATCCTGGCCCGGAACGCCGAGACTGAGTACCTGAAACGTTTCGAGCTCGGCGGCTCCACCGACCGCGAAACCTACAAGTCGAAGCTTCCGGTCATCACCTACGAGGATCTTCAGCCGGAAATTCAGCGTATTGCTAACGGGGATCGCTCTGCTATTTTGTCAGCTCACCCTATTTCCGAATTCCTCACCAGGTGAATTACTAACTAAACTTTGTATATTTATATATATATTTTTTCTTTCTTTTTGTGTGGTCAATTCTAATTCTTTATTACAAATATTGGAAATTACAGTTCTGGGACTTCCGCTGGTGAAAGAAAACTCATGCCGACGATTAAGGAAGAGTTGGATCGCCGCCAACTATTATACAGCCTACTAATGCCAGTAATGAACCTGTAAGTTTCAAGCAAAAAAAAAAAAAAAAACCGATAGTCAATTAAAAAAACGTCGCGTTTATCTCAACTAATCATTTAATCTCCTTAATTATTAATTCATTAAAAGACGTGAAGAACTAAACTTTTTTTTTTTAAACAAAAAATTGAAATGTACCAGTTACGTTCCGGGGCTGGACAAAGGCAAAGGTCTATACTTCCTGTTCGTGAAGTCCGAAACAAGGACACCGGGCGGGCTACTGGCCCGGCCTGTTCTGACGAGCTACTACAAGAGCGACCACTTCAAGACCCGCCCTTACGACCCTTACAATGTCTACACCAGCCCCAACGAGGCCATCCTCTGCTCCGACTCCTTCCATAGCATGTACACCCAGATGCTCTGCGGCCTCCTCGAGCGCCACCACGTCCTCCGCCTCGGCGCCGTCTTCGCCTCCGGCCTCATCCGTGCCATCAAGTTCCTCCAGCTCAACTGGTCAAACCTCGCCCGTGACATCCGCTCCGGCACCCTCAACCCCAAAATCTCCGACCCCGCCATCCGCCGCCGCCTCGCCGAAATCCTCGTCCCCGATAACGACCTCGCGGACTTCATCTCCGCCGAGTGTTCAAAGGATAATTGGGAGGGAATCATCACAAGAATCTGGCCCAACACCAAGTACTTGGACGTGATCGTCACCGGTGCAATGGCACAGTACATTCCGACTCTGGAATACTACAGCGCCGGATTACCAATGGCTTGTACCATGTACGCCTCGTCAGAGTGCTATTTCGGCCTGAATTTGAACCCGATGTGCAAGCCCTCGGAAGTGTCCTACACAATAATGCCGAACATGGCATACTTCGAATTCCTCCCTGATTACCACCCGAACTCAAACTCCGAGGAGGTCAAACTCGTTGACCTGGTGGACGTTGAGATCGGGAAGGAGTACGAGCTGGTGATCACGACCTACGCGGGGCTGTACCGGTACAGAGTCGGCGACATCCTCCGAGTCACGGGGTTCCACAACTCGGCGCCGCAATTCCACTTCGTGAGGCGGAAGAACGTCCTCCTTAGCATCGACTCCGACAAGACCGACGAGGCCGAGCTCCAGAAGGCGGTGGAGAACGCGTCGAAGTTGCTGTCTGAGTTCAACACAAGCGTCGTCGAGTACACCAGCTACGCCGACACGAAGACGATCCCGGGGCATTACGTGATCTACTGGGAGCTTCTAGTGAAGGACGCGGCGAACGCCCCGAACGACGACGTTTTGGGGCGGTGTTGTTTGGAGATGGAGGAGTCGCTGAACTCGGTGTACCGACAGGGCCGGGTCGCGGATAACTCGATCGGGCCGCTGGAGATCCGGGTCGTCAAAACGGGGACGTTTGAGGAGCTCATGGATTACGCGATCTCCAGAGGCGCGTCGATCAACCAGTACAAGGTTCCTAGGTGCGTGAACTTCACGCCCATCACGGAGCTCCTGGATTCTAGGGTGGTCTCGTCGCACTTTAGCCTCGCTCTCCCGCACTGGACGCCGGAAAGGAGACGGTAGTTTCGGGTTTGAAAAATCCAGAGTCAACGACGTCGTTTCATGAATTTTTATTTTTATTTTATAGGTTTTTTTTTTTTTTACTGGGGTTGTAGAATTTTTCTTTTATAAAAAAAGTGAGTTTGATTAGGATGTTTCAGGGTCAGGTTTTGTATTTTGGTTCAATTAACTTGTGGAAAAAAGATAAGGATGTGACTTATCAAAAGATGTTCTCGTTCTGTGAATTGTAACTTTTATGTAATGGAGGAAAAAAGAAAAAGAAAAAAAGGAAGTAAAGATCTGTTTTTGGACGAAGCTCTATCCATTCACTGCATGAGATAATTGGCTCTTTCGACCTCCATAATTTTGTCTGCTGAAACTACTGTGCCTCGCTTTATTGTCTTCTTTTATTCTTTTCTTTCTTCCAAAATTATTATAATGGCTCTCTCTTTTTGGAACTTATTATATGCTAAATATTTGTCCTACTTTTTAGTGTAATGTGAATGTAATGTATTAATATGGGCGGCGTAAGTAATATCCTACCTTACATTGTACTATTCCCCTCCAATTATTGTTCCCACTCTACTTAAAACGACTCTATACAATACTAGGAATACTTGGGACTCAAATTTAAAAAAAAAAAAAATGAAAAAAGAAATCTAATTACATCAAGTAACATTCTTAACATATAATCTCTTAAAACTTCTACTTATATAGTAAACTAGCTAGTGATATTCCTCTAATATGCTGGATTAACCAATTATAGCAGTTTTCATTATTGCGTAGCTTGTAAAATTTTAATTAATAGTAAAAACATGCAACTGCACTAAGTTTGTTAGAAAGCAAAATTAACGTTAGATAACTTAATGTATTATAGGTAAGTTTTTCAAAGTTGCAACTTGTCGTGAAATCTTCTTCTTCTTCTTGGTTGCGTTATATATGGATAGTAAATTGATTGAATTATTAATTTAAAAAATAATAATTAAAACTGATATATTTGCATTAATTCCAAATGTCATAGCATGATCATGGTGATATTTCCACCTGTTTACTTTTAAAATTATGGTTGTTCCCTTACCTACATATGATATGACTACATATCGAGTTCTCATGGTTTTTCTTTTTGATCATCACCTGCTATCCTTATGTGTCATCCGGATAAGAAAGCAACGGATAGTGACCCCCAAGAGGAAAATGAAACAACTATCATTTCAAACACTGTTAAAGTAAAAAACTTTGAAAATAACTTTATTTATTTATTTATTTTTTTTGAAGGATGAAAATAACTTTCATTGTAAAGGTAAATTGAAATTCTAGTCGGCAGCAGGAAAGTGGCTAGTAAAGAAAAGAAACAACTCGTGCGAAACGTGTAAATTTTATATATGGTGGTGGGAGAGCTTCATGTACTTGCGCACTTTCCATTTCTCATCATTTCTCCCTTTAAGATGAATTTTTTAACCTTGTGAGTTATAAGTTATCTTTCTGCCTAATTTAAGGCTTTAGTTAACTGTAGTTAATAGAACGTATCAATCCTAAAGATTAAAAATCATTGAAATTGTCACCCTCAAAAAACGAAAAAGTTGTCACTTGTGTTGGCACAATTATGGATCTTGTATTATAGATAGCCACACATCACAAAAGCAAGTAGATAAAGTTCCACATCCTCTCTATAGCCACTTTATCATGACAACATGCCGTTTTTTAGATGGCATTCAAAAATTCAAAGCAGGAAAAATGATATTACAAGAACAGTACCAATGACAAGAACAATAACATTAGCCTGCCTTTACATTTAGAAGAAAACTAGTATGAACTTTTAATTTTTCAGTTTTTTTTTGTTTTTTCATATAATTTTGGTTTTTTCAAGCTTGTTTCAATAATTTCAACTATTTCTAAGGCGATGATAGTATGGTGATAAGGTTTTCCACCCTTTACACAGCCATATATAGCTAGGCAGCTATTTATTGGTGTGATATATTATATGTGGAATGGTGATAGGATGATTAGCTAAGAACTTTCGAATTATGAGTGTTTGTCTCTCATCTGTCTTGACTAAATTGGTATATGATTTTGTATCGGCATGCAGATCTAGATTAATAACCAATATAGATCAAACAATATATATTTTTCTGAGAAAGTTGTTGGAAATAACACATGATTACAAACCTTATGAGAATAATATATACATAGAAAGATATTCTGAAAATTTTCAACTTTGTTTTTTGTCTTGTGTTTTTAAGTAAAAAAGAAGTACATTTAGAAGAAACACATTAGAGGCACTGTTTTTAATATGTTTAGCTTATTTTGTAATTTTTAGAAGGAAATAATTGTTTTTTTTTTTCAGAGTACGGTATTTTCTACTACACAATCGAGCAAATTATTTATGATAACTAATTTAGTTTTTGACATGTTGTTTCTAGATTTTTCTAATCGTTATTAAGGGGATAAAATTCAAATATCCCACTCGAAGTTTGGCCGACATCTCCATATGTGAACTACAAAAATAATATCTCAACAAACTTCTCCTAGTTTGATTTTTTTTATTTAAAAAAAAAGGAGATAACATCATAAACCAAAGTACCTAATTTATTTTTGAAAAAATTCAAAGGAAAAATCATCAATAGTTACTTCCTCGAAGAAAAAGAAGTCCATTGATAATTACTTTTAACCTCCGTTTGATTTTATTGAAGTATTTTTTTTTTAAAGAAGATTTTAGTTTGAATTGTCTTTTGGTAAACACCTCTAGCAAGTAGCAACAAACAATTAACTTCTAATAAAACATTTTATCTCAAAAAAAAAAAAAAAAACGACATATTGGTTTCTATTTAATTTGAATTATCTTTATTGGTTTGGTAAACACCTCGCAAGTAGCAACAAGCAATTAACTTTTCAATAAAACGTTTTATCTAATAAATAAATAAAATAAATGACATGCCGCTTTATATTTAAAATAAAATGCATTATCTAAAAAAAACTTTTTAAAAAACGATGATCGTGTTTGAAATTAATTCTGTTTTTATTTTTTACGTTTTTTGAGAAAGAAAAAATGAAAACGTTTTCAAAACGGCGTTTGACGCAATAAAGATAAAAAATAAAAATAAAAATAATTTTTTAATTTAATGTAAAATGAGAGAAAAATAAAAAATAATTTTTAATCATTTTTTTACTTTTATTTTTTTCTCTCTTGAGTAAAAAGAGAGATATATATTAATGAGATTTTTTATATTAAAAATTATCTTTTAATAAAATTAATAAACACATTTTTAAAAATAATTTTTATTTAAAATTAAAAATATTTTTATTTTTAATTTTATATAAAAAATAAAATTATTTTCAAACGAATTTCAAATCACGTTTTATTCCTAGACGACCTCAGACTTTCGGAGGAAGAAAAAAGACGGTGTTGAATTTGATCCATCACGTCTCAGACTTTCCTTTTTCTAAAAACCGTTGAAAGTGTTTAATGCATGATTCACCTCCCGGAATATGTTTCACAACTTTCGCTGTAAATAAAACGCCAAAGAAGTAAGGGAAAAAAAAAAAAAGAAAAAAAGACGGCTGTTTTGTTCACAGATTGAAGTAACAAAACAGAAGTAAACGTAAAAAAAAAGTCAACGTTTTATCACCAGCTGTGGAACCAGTATCTATTCGCGTTCCGACGTCGTTTCGTCCGTTTGTTTGTTTCTTCTTCAACTGTGGTTTGTGTGGTTACGCTTAATTAATAGAGAGAGGAGAGAGGAGAGAGAGAGACGCGACGGAAAGTGAGAGAGAGAGAGAAGAAAGAGAGAGTGAAAAGGTTGGTGGTGGTGGTGGCTGTTTGCCATGGCAACCCTTCCCTCCATCCTTTCCTCCTCTTCTTCTTCTTCTCTTCTTCCTCTGCACCGTCCCTCTCTACCCCGCTCTCGTTCCTCGCTATGTTTCTTCCCTCTCCGGTCCTCCTCACCAGCTTCTAGAAAGTTCCAAACCCTAGTTCGAGCTTCCTCTGCTCCTTCTTTCGGCGATCTCAGCTCCAACTTCCGCTCTTCTCGATTTGAATCCTCCAAGGTTAGCAATTTCCTCTTTCTTCTTCTTTATTGATCGTTTTCTGGTTTCATTTGTTCGTAGTTTCGATGGGATTCGTTCGGCATTGCCTTTGCTTGAATTTGGGTTTTTTAAAGCTCCCGTGGATTCCGACAAACTTTTATCTAAGTTAAGAAGTAAGAATTAGAATCATTGAATTCGATTCGCTCGATATTGCCTTTGCTTGAATAAGAGTGTTTTTTTTTTTTTAGCTAGTGAACTTTAATCTAGGTTAAGAACTAGAATCAGTGAATCATAGTTACAAAAGGCAGGACTTTCAGCTTAGCTTTGCTTTTCTGCATTTACATTTTTTTTTAAACCAAATCCTCGTTTATATTGGTGATATGTTGATATTTTTGTAATTCTTTTATTAGGAGTGGATGATGGGTTCTTCTATACATGTTTTGAATTGGGATGGGATTTACTTAGTTCTTGACAATGATTTTGTGGTTTATGTTTCTATTCAGAAATCGGCTCTGTCAAATTTGATACACGAGATAGAACCATTGGACGTGAGTCTGATTCAGAAAGATGTTCCACCGGCCACTGTGGACGCCATGAAGAGGACTATCTCCGGCATGCTGGGCTTACTTCCGTCTGACCAATTTCAAGTGCTTATTGAGGCTTTATGGGAACCCCTATCCAAGTTGTTGGTTTCTTCTATGATGACTGGGTATGTTTGTTAATCTTTTGAGTCTCGTTTGTGCCTTAATGATTATTTAGTTTTTGAGTGAATGGAAGAGAAGTGAGTATGAAATTGATCACTCTCGTAACAATTTTGGTTACTTTTGAGGCTGCACCAGGTCCATGCTCGTTGTTGTCTCTGTGTTAAGAGCTATTGAAGCTTAATTTAGTTCTTCTGGTGTTTAGACATGAATAAGTTAAATATTTGCTGTAAGTTTAGCATTTAGTGCACGGCTTAGAAGCTATGGAATATCGGATTGTACTTTGGCGTTTTCTTCAATTATACTTGTTGAAATAAAGGAGACACGTGAACAGTTTTCTTCTACAATTGCAGGTATACATTACGAAATGCTGAGTATAGGCTTTGCCTAAAAAAAAATTTTGATGCTTGTGAAGAAAATCTTGAAAAAGAAAGGATGGAAAGTTCTAAATTTGATGTACAAGGAATGTTGCGTGAAAGCGCTAGTACAATCAAACCATCTGCAAAAGATGAGCTATCATCTAAATCTGGAAAGATCTGTGTAGATCCTTCTAAGAATAATGAAAAACAAGGCCTTGGTGATATGTCCCCTGAAGCTCAAGAATATATTCAGCAGTTGCGGTCACAGTTATCGTCTGTTAAAAAGGTATGTGGAAAGCATTCTTACAGATAAATACATATATTTTTAGTCCTCAATGTTTATGTGGTTGCAGCCTGGTACATTTGGGAAGTAGTGCTTTTATCAGCTAGAGAAAATTAGTTGGCATATCCGGCTTTTCTTTTGACTGAAGATCCGTGGCTGTTGTGTTTTCCATGAGATTCCCTTGATGACAGCATGAACCCTCCACTTTCCCCTAGAGTCAATGGCAAATCTTGTCATTTCTTCTTCTTCTTCTTCTTCCTTTAATCATTGATGATGTTGAAGTGAAGCTACAGCATGCCCTCCATAAAGTATAAATTAATTTAGTTTTTCCCTCTTTCATTTTCTTAAGGAGCTCCACGAAGTTAAAAGGAGAAGTGCTGCTCTCCAGATGCAGCAGTTTGTTGGAGAAGAAAAGAATGATTTACTGGACTATTTGAGATCACTACAACCAGAAAAGGTACTACCAAAAGTTCTTCTATTTAGTGTGCTTACCCTTTTTCCAACGTGGCCAAAATTCAGCTTTAATCACTCTCTTTTATCTCTCGCAATGTCCTATGGCTAAAGAAAGTTTTTGCAGTCTTTCACCAATCTGATGATTTTGCGTTCCAATGCTAGTTACACTTTAAATGCACTGTAACACATAGCTCTCTCTCCCTCTCTCCAGAAAGCATAACATGGACTTGATAGCTGGGCGTTTTGATGTTCTATTATAAGCCTTTAGTTTGTTAAAAGTTCCTTAAACTCACCTCCTTTGGCCAAAAGGCAAAAAGGACGAGAACATGACTTTAAGTTAACCAACCTACCAATTTTATTCTCCTTCACAATACAGCCTAAATGGAATAGTAGTCTTATCTATTTTTTCTAAATTCATAGAGTTAACCTTGCAAGTAGATTTGACTGCTACCAAAATCCTACTTTATGTTGTGTTCGTTATGCGGACAGATGCATAGAAGTTCATGGCGGTTCATTTGATCTAATTAGCACTTTTTAGTTTCATCCAATCCAATATGCACTTGTGTGGTTTTCCCAAAAGGCCAAAACTACATCCAATTCTATCTGCATCGGTTTCTTTGATCTGTTACTTAAAACTCATAACGTAGTAGTCTTATCTATTTTTTCTAAATTCATAGAGTTAACCTTGCAAGTAGATTTGACTGCTACCAAAATCCTACTTGATGTTGTGTTCGTTATGCGGACAGATGCATAGAAGTTCATGGGGGTTCATTTGATCTAATTAGCACTTTTTAGTTTCATTCAATCCAATATGCACTTGTGTGGTTTTCCCAAAAGGCCAAAACTACATCCAATCCTATCCGCATCGGTTTCTTTGATCTGTTACTTAGGCCCCGTTCATTTCATCGATTCGAGTTTTGCTACAGTAAAAAACTCTCAGAAACAGTCACATTTAACTTTTTTGCTACAGTAAAAAGCTATCACATAAAGTCATATCTCAGCTCGAATTGAAAACTCGAATCAGCGAACTAAACGAATCCTTAAAACTCATAAAGTTAAGTTTTGGACTGATATTTCCAATTTTTCCCCCCAGAAAAGACGTCTAACTCTAAAGCCGCACAATTAACTTAAACTCATAGAATCATAAGTTAAGACTAGTTTCAAAATCATCCAAATCATCTGACATGAATAAAAAGTCAAATGCGGTACATAGTTCAACATAAATCCATTACGTAATGCGGATCGGTTTGGACCTGTTAATTCTTTTTCCTCAGTCCATTACCAATTTGCACTTGATTGGTTTTCAGAAATGGCAACCGATCCAACCAGTAGTTATTTGGTTATCCCCACTTTGTGGACTGGATTGGATGGTTGAATTTGGTATTTGCAAATTTTGGACAGCTAGTGAAACTATGAAAGCAGTTTGCTAATTCCTAATTACATTAACGTGCATTTAAGATATGTCTGTCGCACTCTTTTGCTGATCAAATCAAATTCATTTCTTGAAATGTTTATTGTTGACGGTGAAATCTCGTCAACAGAAATAGGCCGGGTCACCTCTAGGTATCCCGTTGGATTACCGCCTTGATATTGACTGGATACTCAGTTTATGCAATGAAGTGTTTGTGGTATTTTTGGAGTTGGTGAGCAATATGAGAAAATATGCTTGAAGTAGAAGAACGCACGAAATTTATAGTGGTTCACTCTGTTAATGAAGAGCTACATCCACTGTAGTGTTGTATTCCTTTTGAGATTATTACAATTTACATCTTAGTTATTCTCTCGTTTTTTCTCTCTCAAGAAGCGAACCCCTTTCCTGTATGGGGCTTCGCCCCTTTTATAGCTGAGCTTCCTTCGTCGGGTGGGTCTCCTTTGTAGGCAGAAGCACTCAAGTGGTCTGCCTTTCTAGGCCTAGACCGTAGCCTACTAATTACTTTGCGAACTGTTCACTCAGCCAATTAGTCTCCTATTACGGCTCTGTGCGTACCTGTAACCCTTTTCTGTCCCCCGTAGGGCGGTTTAAGGGTTTGCAATTAATGCCTGCACTGCAGACATCCCCCACTTCTGTACGCAACTTGCGATGTCAGGCTTTCCCCTTTTGGGGCATTCCTCTCGCCGTCTCTGTTTGCTCAGTCTAGTTGTCTTTCTTGGCAATTGATTTTCTCCCGAAGGATTTCCGTCGCAAGGTCGACGGTACGACCTGTCGTCGTCATGAGGAGTCGGCGTCCTAAGTTGGGCTTCCTTTGCAGCAAAAGGAAAGGGGGTCCCAAACGTCGAGGGTTGTTGTCTTTTGAGGAAAAGTAAGGCCACGTGTCACACTGTTCTTCTTCCACGCGTCATCTACATTTTCCCACACAACATTTATCACGCTCCAAGATCCTAACAACTTTACATATAATTTCAAGTTAGCCGTTGACATCCTCTTTATGTTATGTACGACTGTACACATATTGAAATGTTCTGCTGACAACTTTTAGTCTAATTTATGGCAATGGATGTATAGGGATAAAGTGTGGCTTTTGGTTGACTATTGGACTCCTTAGTGCAAATTATCAGGTTACCGCAACTTCTACCCGTCTTTATGAGATTGGCTGATGGCTTCTTCTATCCTTCAAATGTTTATGTTTATGTTTTATTTTATTTTATTTTATTTTTATTTATTTATTTATTTTAAGGGTTAGCTAAAATCCTGGGCCTGTTTGCAACTTTCAATATGTTCATTTTATCACTTCTTTGAACAGCTTGCGTTGTTTTATTTTGCATATTCTTCCAGTTTTCTGTTTGGCACTGAATCAAGTTCTGTTTGTGTAGGTAGCAGAGTTGTCAGAACCTACATCTCCTGAACTGAAAGAAATGATCCACTCAGTTGTCCATGGTCTTCTTGCAACCCTATCTCCAAGAATGCATTCCAAGGTGCCTCCGCTGTCAGAGAATACCACGACTGGAACAGTGAGTGCGGAGGGTGGAGATTGTGCTGAAATTGTTGAAAACACTTCGCTTCAATTTCAGCCCCTTATTTTGTTGACTCGAGACTATCTTGCAAGACTACTCTTCTGGTTAGGCCAACTCATTTCTCTATTTTCTCAACCAGCTATATTTTTTATAAAAAAATTTATTATTGCTGTTATTGTTATCATTATTATTTATCCTCATGTTTGAATGCTTGATTAATCATCTGAGGCCTATAATTTGAACAACAATAACTGATCAAATTATTGCACCATCCGGTTGTCACATTACTTATACTTCTCTTTCTTATCTATGCACAAAAAGGTCGTGTTTAGGAAAGATGGTGATATAGTGTCACATTCCATATTTAAAGTATTTCAGGCATTGTGCAGTTTTAAGATGTGTTTCAGGAAAAACTAAAGACGACGATTTTTCGCTGATTCTTTATTTTTTTTCTTCTTAAGGTGCATGCTATTGGGACACTACCTCAGGGGACTTGAGTATCGAATGGAGCTAATGGAACTTCTATCCCTGAGAAGCGATTCTGAAGGTGATACAGATTATGGCAAGCAAGCTGCTTGAGAGTTTTCAAATTGTTACACATGTCTTAATCCTTTTATTCTCTATTTGATTTTCAGTGGTGCAAGCCGCTACATTTTTACCATCTTTGCTCTCATTGTGTCCAAAATAATACGCGTTGATCATGCTTCGTTTAAGTTTATATAATTAATGTTATCGTTGTTTTCTGAGAACGTGATGATATGGTCGATTTTCCCTCTGGCTCTGGGCAAAAACAAATCTGAAACAAAAGTTAAGAATGATCGCGTTGACTTCCTTGTATGACATTGTTCTACTCGACCATGTATAATTAGAATATTTTTCTTTTCCATGAGACTGAACATTGTTCTACTTCTAATTGCGCCTGCAAGGCTTCTGCAGCTTTTTTAAGGCTCTGTTCAAACCAGTAATTTGATAACCGTCATGTTTCAAACCCACGAGCCAAACGGTTAGTCTACCAATTCTATCGATGTAGTTAGTTTTGGTAAATTCCATTGTAGGAATTAGGAAATAAGTATTGGTATTGTGTGTTTATTACTGTGAATTAAATATATTTAATTGGATTAAAAGGAAATCTGGTTGAGATCTGATGATTAAAATATACTAAATTCCTGGCAAGGTATTTTTCGTAGGAGAATTTCTCATCAGGCTCTGTTAATGAAGAGTATGCATCGTAAGAATTTTTTTCATAACTTATAATTTGGTACCAAAATTTCATATAGCATGTGCCGAATGTTACATAACAAAAGCACTGATTGTAAAGTGATTCTCTGCACAATATTAAAAATTCGACAAGGCATCAAAGGTGTATATAATAACAAGCTTTTCTCAGCATGGAACTTTACAAGATGTGTTGCTTTGCCAATATACTCAAGTGCTCGTCACCGCCTACAAATCAACTGTAAAAGCTGATTGTTTCTTCCGGAGTCAAGATAACCTTAAAAATGAAGCCAATTTTCCATAGACTATATCGAGTTATATTATGATGATAACACAACATGCCAGCGAAAAGAAAAAATTAACATACAAAATGATACATTTTAAGTAGCAGTGTAGCACCAAATCACCAAATCTCCAAATCTAATAACTATTAAGCCCTATCAAGAATGAACACATCAAGGTTAGCTAATTTAACTTCTGTTCTTTTGATAGATAATATAAACAACTTTGCCAAAATCTTGAGTTCTAACCATACTCTTAAGGGATTAGCAAAAAAAAAAAAAAAATAAAAAAAATAGAATAAATAAAAATCCTAGTACTCGTAAAAGGGGTTCTTGCTTTCCTTGTATTCTCATATTTTATTATCCGATTAAAGTCACAGAACACGTTGCTCTCAAATTTCGTGCCAAGTTATTGAGTCCTTGCTTTTTTTTGTTTTTTGTTTTTTTGTTTTTGTTTTTTGCCTACGCATTATTAGTATGTACTTTTCCATTCTAGACCCTTTTTTTATCGGAGCTTAGTTTAAAACAAAAATGATTTCAATGAAGTACCATGAACCAAACATGCAACACAGCATTATTGAGTTACATTAGCAAAGCTAGTAAAATTGAACTATGATATTAACAAGTTAATTAACTGTAGTTTATTCTTTATGATATGTCTTGACTCTTGAATCAAATCTCCTCTCCTCTCTGTGTAACTGTATGCAAGTGTGCAGATTGCAATAACAATATTATCTTTCATTACCTTTATTAATAATATAATATTATGGTTTTTGTTACTGGTAATGATATTAGTGAAGGGTAGATGGTATTAATTCTTGATAGTAATAACTCAATAAAATGAAATATTAATGGTAGTAGTTTAGTAGTAGATTCTATGTTTGATAAAAAGGAAAAACCAAAGACGAAAGTATATCATTTGACAATGTTACGAAAGGCAAATTACGCTTTTTCCAACAATACCTTTTCTTGGGAAATTAAAAAACCCTTTCCTTCTTTAATTTTGAAAGATGATAAGTGTTGAGGTAGCATTTCGTCAATAAAATTATGCTGGATTACCTCTCAATGGTCCGTTGAGTTATCGGTTAAAACTAATTATTTTCTTAGATTTATGCAACTGATAGTGTTTATTTTTTAGGTATATTGTAAGATGTATTAATTTGTTGTTATAACGGAAGTAAAGAGACACACGAATTTATAATGGTTCACTCTATAAAAAGGAGCTACATTCACTGGTCATTGTATTTTTCCTTTTGTGCTTTTAACATTACCAAAAAAGCTCTCTCTTTCTCTCTGGAGCCTTGCCATTTTTATGGCCTACAGATTACGTATGGGTCTCTTTTGGGCGGACTGTCATAAGAGGTTTTCTGATGGTTTCTCTCAAGTAGCCTATTATCCTACCTGCCTAGACCGTAGCTTCTCAGCACCTTTTGGACTGTTCACTCACCCATTTTGTCCACTATTGCGGCTCTGCAGATCCTCTGTGATTTTCATTGGTCCATTCTAGGCGGTTTATGGGCAGGTAATCATTTCTTGTGCTACTGACCTTCTCCAAATCCAGATGTAACTTAGAAATTTCCCCCTTGTCCCCTCAGAAGCCTTTCTTGGGGCGTGAACCCATATTCATGCGTTATGCCCTCTGTGCCTACACTATACTTTATAGGGCGTGACCTCTGTCTCAGTTGACCCCCTAGTGGTACCCCTTCTATTGCAAACAAATTACGCATGCCTTGACTGTATGTAGGGTCGAAGGTTGTATGAATCGTCTCATACAATCGGTCTTTTCACCAGATGGCGGAGGGAGAATGAGCTTTAGGCGTCGACGACTACCTGACATGGCGGGTTTTGGGCCACGTGGAGCGTGGTCGTCATCCGACGTGTCAATGCATATTTTCTCACGCAACAGCTGCCCCCAGGTCGAGACTTTTCTTTAGACTGCCTCGAGCTAGGCTGGGATGCCTCTGGCCTTTCCTTTTGCTTTGGGTGTGGGAGCCTAACTCCGAGCCTCCCTTGTAATGATGGCTCTGACGCTTCGGAGCCCTTCGAGAAGTGCAAACGTCGCGTCGGTCCGATCGCCATGCTGAAGTGGGCTTTCATTTAAACGGACGAATCTGGGCCGTTGAATCATGTCTTTTCAGCTTCCCGCTTTCTCCCCAACCATCAGATTGAGTCCCATCATTTTCGTCGTTGGATGTAACTCACTTCATCGGACGACTGGGGTCGAGGGCTTTTCGTTACTAAAAATAATCTATTCGTACTTGTTCAAATTATCTTGGAACTAAGCCGAAACTCTGCCAAAATTTCTCCAGGACTGTTCTTCATACCTTCCTCTTGCAAACTCGCAAATCTTCAGCGAAGTTCACCTCTAAGTTCTTACGCCCCTCTCGCTCCTAATTTTCTGGTAAGCATTCCTCCTCCCTACTTCCTACTTTGATGTTTGTGTTTGCTTTTTTGACTGGGTTAGGGTGGTTTTTTGAGGGGG